GAACACTGAACATTCTATAATCCTATTTCTACTAGGCATTATTCAGACAGTTTATGCCTCCAAATATATACCATACTTGCAACATATGTGAGATATTATTGGTGCCAAAAGAAATAGGCTGATATGCCTCCTTTGCTGCCAAAATATATCAAGCATATCCTGATTGCCATCAGTTTTAAAAACTGAACCTTCAATTGCAAGTGTCAAAGAAATAAAATGTAAGCAAGAGAAAAATATATAATGAAATTGATTATGAGTATAAAAAAGCTATTTCATAATAATTTCTTCAGGAATGAAGCAACACAGAGTAATAAGTTAGCAGCAACATGAGTGTACCATAAACCATTCTGACAATCAATAACAACATTGTGAACAGAAAGCTCTTTCTGCCCACAGAACAGTAGTATGGGAATTGTATAATATCTGAAGTCAAACACCAACACAATATAAATGCAATATGAGATCATAAAAGGTTTCAGGATATGCTTTTCAAACACAAGGTTCAATGAACTAGCTGTGAAAATGCAGTCTGAATTCCAATTTAATGCTATCACCCCCATCAAAGAGAGGAACCTGTTACCATTTTGACAGTTGTTCTTCCATTGCCTACTAAACTCAAAAGTAATGTTCTGTTTTAAAGATAGTATAAAAAGAGGTTAGAGGAAGAGGGTGGCAGGCAAAACAATTTACATTGCAAAGTTGATAATGACTTAAGTGTTAACCCAAAAACTAAGGATAAATATACTTTGGAGCCAGACAGCATGGGTACAAATCCCAATTCCACCACCTACCAGCTTCATAATTTAAGCAATTCACTTAACTCCTCTGTACTTGTTTCTTCATGTGTAAAACAGGTACAGTAACAGTGCCTACTTCATAAGTAAAGAGCTTATAACAGTACGTGGCATACCATAAGCACTAAAAAGAATACATATTATTATTATTATTATTTTCTTTACTGCTTTTTTAGACAAAATGCTAGCTGAGGGGAATTATAACACTATAACTTATGCTCAGGCTCCTTTTTTGTAATATACACCAGGCACATTTGTTCAAAGGAGCCTTGGTGGCACAACAGTTAAGCACTTAGCTGCTAACTGAAAGGTGGAGGTTCAATCCCACTCAGTGGGTGGCAGAAAGACCTGACAATCTGCTCCCATAAAGATTACAGCCAAGAAAACCCTACTGGGCAGTTCCACGCTGTGACATGGGGTAGCTATGAGTTGGAATCAGTGCAATGGCACCCAACAACAATGTACTTGTTCATAGTTCAATAACAATGGGATATTTTCACCCTTATCCATTTGAGGGTTGGGCAATCTACTTCCATAGTGATACTGCCTTGGAAACCCAAAGAGGGGTCACTATGAGAGCAGATTGTCAGGTCTTTTTTATTTTTTTTAATATATATTTGACCCTAAAGCTGAACATAAAGATTTACAGCCTCAGAAACCCAATGGAGTTGTTATGAGTCAGTATCAACTTGATGGTTTTTGGTTTGAGGGTTTTCAAGGCTCTGACCATTCAGAAGCAGAGAGCCAAGCTTGATTTCTGAGGTCCCTCCGGGTACCCAGGTTTCAAAGTGATAACCTTTCCACTAGTAATTGAGCACTTAACCACTTGCGCCACCCAGAGACTTGCAATTACTACATATAAATATGCACAAGGAACAATTTTGGAAGAACTAGAATGCAATGTTCAAAGAACCTAAGGTTAAAACCAGACTAACAGTAATCTCAGTAAACATTTATATGGCTCTTACAACATGTCTAGTATTGTTCTAAGTCTTTTTTATACATACTAACTCATTTTAATAACCTGCAATAGGCAGACCACACAACTTTGCTTGCTGAAAGTGAGGATGACTTGAGGTACTTACTGATGAAGAATTAAAACTAAAGTTTGCAGTAAGGATTACGCCTCAATATAAAGAAAACAAAAATTCTCCCAACTGGACCAATAAGCAGCATCATGATAAATGGAAAAAAGACTGAAGTTGTCAAAGACTTCATATTACTTGGTTCTACAATCAACACCAATGGTAGCAGCAGTCAAGACATCAGAAGACATATTGCATTGGGCAAATCTGTTGCAAAAGACAATCTTACCAACTTGCAACTCATTGGTAGCCTTCATAGAATTATATGAAGTATAATACATTTTATTTTAAAAATGGAACATACTAAAAGTGCAAGAAATTTAAAGCCAAATCATCAATAAGATTAAAGATTTCAGAAACCTGCTTCTCATTCCACTTGAAAGACCTCTTTGAAGTGCTGAAGAGTAGAGATGTCACTTTGAAGACTAAGGTGCGCCTAATCCAGGCCATGGTATTTTCAGTCGCCTCATATGCATATGAGATCTAGACAATAAATAGGGAAGGCCGAAGAAGAGTTGATGCTTTTGAGTTGTGGTGTCAGTGAAGAATAGTGAGAGTACCACAGACTGCTAAGAGAACTAACAAATCTGTCCTGGAAGAAGTGCAGCCAGAATGCTACTTGGAAGCGAGAATGGCCAAACTTCATCTCACCTGCTTTGGTCATGTTGTCAAAAGGGACCATTCTCTGGACAAGGGTATCATGCTGCATAAAGTGGGGGATCAACGAAAATGGGGAAGGCCCTCTACAAGATGGATTGACACAGTGGCTGCAGCGATAGGCTCAGGTATAGCAGGGATCATGAGGCTGGCACAGGACCGGGCAGTGTTTTGTTCTGTTGTACATAAGGTCGTTATGAGCCAGAGATGACTCAATGGCACCTAACAACAACTCATTTTATCCTCACAATAATCTTCTGGAGTTAAGTATCCTACTGTCACTATTTTACAAATGAAGACAATGAAGTGTTGAGGGGTAAACTAATTTGCCCAGACTCACTGGCCTAGTAAGTGGCAGAGCTATGATTCAAACCCTGCAAGTCTGGTTCCACAATCCCTGCTTTACTGTCTCTTGGTGACCTTGAGGAATGGACTACAAAAACTACTAAAAGTATAGGCAAACTCAAAATGCAAAGCAGCTTCAGGGTCAAATATATATTAAAAAAAAAAAAAAGGCTCTGAGGAAATTGCCATTTCAATACTGGGCAATAAATGACTGAGACATCAAGGAAAGGTTGCACTCTGTTCAGAGCACTGTACTTAAGGTGGCAAAGAATTGTTCAGCACATCCTTTACATTCCCACCCAAAACAATCAATCTAATTTTCACTTCTAAAGGGGTAAACTCCTCAACCATCCAGAGATCGGACTCCATGGCAGTGAGTGAGCGAGCCTATCAGAAGGGTTTTACTGAATAATCTTGTCATTTATCTCATTTTTAATGGCAAGGGTTGTGTGTGTGTGCAGACACGCATGTGCAGGGGGAGCACAAATTAACCTTTCCAGTCATTGCAATACCAGATATATTAGAATTTCATATTAAAAATATTGTCAAAGAAAATCATTTGGAGAGATGAGTTATGTGTGACTATTGTAAAAGGCATAGAATTTTATCATTAATAGTTATTGGAAAAAAAAAAGTACAGGCTTTGAAGTCATACACAGATCTGAATTTAAATCTTGGCTCTGTATTTAATTACTGTAAATTTTTGGCAAGTCATTTTCACATAAATGAGCCTCAGTTTTCTTCTCTGTAAATTGAGGGTAACTCCTAACTTACAGGCTTATTGTGTGAATTAAGAAGAAAACTTATGCAAAGTGTTGAACACAGTCCCTGGGATATAGTAGATTTCAGCAAACAGCACCTATTACTTCCCTAACTTTATTTTACTTAAAAAAAAATCAAACTCATTGCTGTTCAAGCGATTCTGACTCACAGCAACCATATAGGGCAGAGTAGAAATGCCTCATAGGTTTTGCAAAGCTGCAGTCTTTAGGGACGCAGACTTGCAGATTGTCACATCTTTCTCCCGCGGAGCAGCTGGTGGGTTTGAACATGTGACTTTCGGTTAGCAGCCGAGCCCTTCACCACTGTGCCAAAATATTGGATAATCTTATCAATTTGCAACTCATTGGTAGCCTTCATAGAATTATATGAAGTATAATACACTTCATGTTAAAAATGGAACATACTAAAAGTGCAAGAAATTTAAAGCCAAATCATCAATAACAATTTCAGAACCCTGCTTCTCATTCCATATACTCAGCATCTACGTTTTGACTGGTTGTGTAATAACCCATATTGACAATATGAATGACTCATTACCAACAACATGAATCCTGTTGTTGTTGAAGCGATCTAAGCATTCCTAGAGGATTCTACTGCTTATTTATTTTGATGGGTAATAAGCTATCTTGCAAGGGTAATTATCATTGCTTGAAAAACCATAAAGAACCCCAGGGGCTAGAAGAATTTTTATGAAAAGCTGTAACTGTTCCCTGCACCTCAGCAGCTGATTGGGTGCATAATAAATAAAGTATCCCAAGTGCATACTTTATTATCACAACAGATTTTCGCATTACGGCACCACCGCCCCGCCCCAATGCATGCTTTAATGGTCAGAGAACGAATGTTCTTTAGTAACACCAAAACTCAAAACTTAGTGCTCTTAGTAAGGATCCTCCGGGCGTGGGGGAAGATGGGTTTCACTGTAAGTAGAAATGAATGGAAGTGGGAACTGTTCTCTCTCCTTAAACAGGACTAGAGATGAGCCATGTGGGACTAGGAGCAGAGAGGGAAGGGTGAAGAGGGCCTGCAGGGAACAGACGAAGAGAGAGGCAACTAGAGGCTGAGTGTATGTGCCGCCGGAGAAAATAATCAGAGATACCACCACTCCAAGAGCTGAGGCGGACAGAAGTGGGTGCCCACCCAGTCAGTCCCCAGAACGGGTTTCAGCCTCAAGGGTCAGGTAGGACTGAGCAGAGATGCAGTCCTCGCAGATCGACGAAACATGAGTATAGGAACTGGCTCCCCACTGCCTTCAGAAAGAATGTTACTGTCACCACCGCCATCCCAAGGCGGGAGGAGAGGAAGGCAGGGACCCAACAGGGAGCGCACAGGTTACCTGTATCAGCCGCCTGCCCACGGGTCTCCACTTCCGCAGACTCCGGGTTACTACGGGCTACCCAGGCACGCACCCAGTGACGTCATCCATGCGCGCCCCAGCCCACAGCCCGCTTGGCCCCGCCCTCCTTTAGGTCCGCCCCCTTGGAAAGAGGTGGGCAGGACCTCGGGGGGTGGGTCTGCGCAGACGCGAAGTTGAAATGAGCTTGGGAGGGATCATTACAGTATTACAGTTTGGCATGGTTGGGAGCCTGAAGGCTTGCTCCGTTACCCAACCACCCCTAATTGCAAAATCTCGTGGGTACTTTAAAAAAATTGTATTGAAATACAATATGCGCTTCTTATTCCTTATTCTTCTCTGATTTTGCTGCATATGACTGTTGTTTACATACTGTTATTCATTTCATGAGCGCACTTAACGCACTAGGCTGCTAACCTAAAGGTTGGAAGTTCCAGTCCACCCAGAGATGCCTAGGAAAAAAGACTTGGCATTCCACTTCCCAAAAATCAGGCACTGAAAATCACAAGGTGCACATATCTACTCTGGCATACATGAGGCCACCATGAGTCAAAAAGGACACCAAAGTAACTAGTTTTTTTATTCATTCCATTAGTATTCATTAAGGCCGTACTATGTACTAGGCTTTCTGATGGTTCTTTCTTTGTACATATCATCAGGAGGGATCAATTGCTGAAGGAGGATATTATGCTTGGTGAAATAGAGGGTCAGCCAAGGGCAAGGTAGATCCTAGGTGAGATGGATTGGCACAATAATTCAGAGCTTCAAACTGGTTCAAACCAGTTTAGTCATGGCTGATGAAGCAAAACCGGAACAGATCTGAATTTTTAAAATTTTGGGTGATCTGGAAGAGGAAAAATTATGGATTGAAGGCCTGGAAAGAAAGACTCAAAACAACGATGCACTGCTGGGTGCTGGGCAATGCTTTGTTCTGTTGTACAAAAGGGTGCCATGAGTTGGGGTTGAATCTACAGCTAGCCATCAATGTGCTAGGCAAACTCTGTTACAGAAACCAGGGGTACAGCAGTGTACACAACAGACACTGTGCCTATCCTCATGAAGATTACTTTCTAGTCAAGAAAGCAAACATTTAATAACTCAACAAATACACATGAATTTATAGAGATAAAGATAAGCATATGGAAGGAAGAGCATAAGCTGATGAGAAAATAAAGAAAGTGCCTCTTTAGTTTGAAGTGTCAGTGAAATGCTGTCTGAAAAATCACACTGAACTGAGAAAAGAACAAGTCCATTCTGTGCAGATTGAGAGGGAAGCAACTAAGAGAAAGATCAACATGTACAAAGGCTGTGGGGAGAGGAGAGAATTCAGTACCCAAGAAAAAATGAGGAAAGTAGGGGAGGGGAATAGATGAGGTCAACAAGACAAGGACGGTCCTGATCACATAGAGCGTTTCTGGGCCACTGCAAAGAGTATGGTTTTATTTTAAGTGTAATGGGAAGCCAGTGAACAGTGTTAAACGTGCGAGTGGCAGTATCTGATTTTAATTATAAAAAATCACTCTAGCTGCTGTGTATGCAATAAGCTATTGGGAAACAAGAAAGGATGCAAGGAGAACATTTACTTGCTTTAGCAGTGATCAGATAAGAAATAAACAAATTTAAGGAATAATTTGAGGAGAGATATGACAGATTTGGCATATTAATTTTCTAGGGCTGCTGTAACAAAATACTAACACCAGATGGTGGAGGCCTCTGGGTGGTGCAAATGGTTAACATGCTCAGCTACAAAGAGAAAGTTTGGAAGTTTGAGTACACCCAAAGGCACATCGGAAAGAAGGCCTGGAGATCTACTTCCAAAAAAATCAGCCTTGAAAATCCTATGGAACATAGTCTACTCTGACTCACATGGGGTTGCCAGAGTTGAAATAGACTCAACAGTAACTGGTTTTTTTTATAAGAACAGTCATGTTTTATTGTACAGTTCTAGAGGCCAGAAGTCCAAATCAGGGTATTGGCTGTGCTGATTCTTTTCAAGGGCTCTGAGAGAGAAACCATTTCACGCCTCTTTGCTAGCTTCTGGTGGCAATCCTTGGCTTACAGATGCATCTCCACAAGGCCATCTTTCCTCCACTCCTTGTCTTTGTGTCTCTTCTTCTCTTTTATAAGGACAATTTCCCCTGTATGACCTCATGTTAACCTATTTGATAACATCTTCAAAGACCCTATTTCCAAACAAGGTCACGTTGACAGGTGTGGTAGTTAAATTTGTATGTCAACTTGGCTGAGCCTGGTTGAGTGGCTGGGCAGCTGGTGGTAGTTATTCCCTATGATGACATTGGCAATCAGCTCCATGGTGGGGCCTACCACAAGCAGCTGAGTAGCTGCCTTTGGGTATGTGGTCTGCTTCCCGTATATAAGGAACAGCTTTGGGAATGTTTTCCAGCTTATGGCATGCTTGGACCCTGCATGTGGCCACGTTGTTGTTCAGCAGCCTGCCATGCTCTGCTGACCCTGAGACTTACGATGGACTTAAATTAATGGCCTGCTATGTGGTTTGGTAACATCAGGACTGTGCCTATTTACTTGTCAACCTTGGGCTTGTCAGCTTCAGCAGCCAATAGCTGTCTGAGTGAAGATATGCCTCTAGCTCCAGAGGGATGAGAGTAGGAGGCAGAGCTGGACTCCACAGTTGAGGGGCTTTCACCCAGCCCCTAGAGCCTGGCACTTTGAACTTGGATTTCTAGCCTCCAAACTGTGAGAGAATAAACTCCTATTTGTTCAAGCCATCCCATTTGTGGTATACTCTTGTCAGAGAGGCACTAGGTAACCAGAACAAGAGGCATTGAGGGTTAGGACTTGGACATAACTTTTTGGGCAACACAATTCAAACCATAGCATTTAGAGATGGATTAGGTAAAGGCAATAAGGAAAAGAAAGGTGTCAAAAATGCCTCCTAAGTTTTTGACCTAAGCAAATAACTGGACAATACAGTTAAAACATTTACTAAAACTTCACAAAATTTATTCATCCTCTTTTCAACCCTTACCCCTTCTTTGTTACCAAGTTCTCTTGATTCTCCTCTTACCAGTCTGATCATCACTCTGTTTCCAGAAAGGGGTCCTCTTTCTCTGTCTTTTCCTTATCTATTTTTTTTCTTGGTCTTTTTATGCTACACGAGAGGCTGCAAACCCAAAAGCCTACAGGAACCACTGAGCACACAGGAGTGAAGCTTGTGAATAAAGACCAGAGAACTGGAGCTGTTTTCCCTATTATTTAAATGATTTTTGCCATAAAAGTATGTGAGATCTTCTAATTTTTAAAGACAAATCAGTAAACAACACTTAAATGAAATTTCCTAAATTTTAAATGTTGGTCATCAATTCAAATTTTGTTAAACATATGCTTTGGACCAAACAAAATATATCACCTGGCCAGATGAGGCCTGAGACCGAAAATTTGCCTTCTTATCTGATATTTTCCCAAGCTGGTGATTTTGTCTAAACTCATGTGACTGTTAACTGTATGCTGACAACTCCCAAGTTTACCTCTCCACTCATATATTTTTAAAATGTCCTACTCAAATACTCAAATTCAACTTAGATGTCATATTGACATCTAAAACTCAACATTTTAGAAACTAAATGCTTCACTTACCCCTAGTGATGTATTTTCTAACCCTGGTCATGTATACTCTGTCTCAGTTAATAGCATCAAAATCCACTCAGTGACCCAAGCCTGAAATCCAGGATCATCCCACACTTGTCCCTCTCCCTCATCCCACAGTCCAATCAGACCAACTCCTGACCTTGATCTCCTGAATATTTATTCCATATACTGTTAACTCTATCCTTACTAATGATAGCCCTTATTCAAACCTTCAATTTGCTCCCTTTGGTCATGTGTTTTAACCTCCCTGCACCTCAGTTTTCTCACCTATAAAATGAGAGGACTAAAATAAATGATTGTACTATTTGTAAAATTCTATGTTTTATTAAGCCACTAGACTTAAGCTACTCTATCAAAATAGTGAGTCCCTGGGTGGTATAAAAAGTTAATGCACTTGGCTGCTAACTAAAAAGATGGAGGTTTGAGTCTACACAGATGCAACTTGGAAGAAAGACCTAGTGATTTAAAGCCAAAAGCCCGTTGTCTTCTAGTCGATTCCAACTCACACTTGTTTCTGTTAGGTGCCATCAAGTCAGCTCTGACTCATAGCTACCCTACGTACAACAGAACGAAACACTGACCAGTCCTGGGTCATCCTCACAACTCCTGCTATTCTTGAGTGCATCATTGCGGCCACTGTGTCAGTCTATCTCGATAAGGGTGTTCCCATTTTTTGCTGACCCTCCAACTATAATATCCTTACCCAAGGAGCCATCCTTTCTGATAACATGAGCGAAGTACATGAGACGAAATCTGGCCATTCTCACTTTTAAGGAGAATCCCAACTATACTTCTCCCGAGACAGATTTGTTCATTCTTCTGGAAACCCTTGGTATTTTCATTATTCTTCACCAACACCACAAGTCAAATGCATCAGTTCTTCTACAGTCTCCCTTATTCATTGTCCAGCTATCATACGCATATGAAGTTATTGAAAATACCATGGCTTAGGTCAGGCACACCTTGCTTTTTAACATTTTAAAGAGGTCTTTTGCACCAGATTTGCCCAGTGTAAAATATTGTCTGATTTCTTGACTGCTGCTTCCATGGGCACTGATTGTGGATCCAACTTCAATCTTTTCTCTATTTTCTGTGGCGTTCCTTATTGGTCCAGTTGAAAAGACTTTAATTTTCTTTTTGTTGAAATATAATCTGTACTGATAAGTGCTTCAGATCTTCTTCACTTCCAACAGGCAAAGTTTTTCTTCTGCATATTGCAGGTTGTTAATGGTCTTCCTCCAATCCTCATGCCACCTTTTTCTTTATCTAGTCCAGATTCTTGGATTATTTCCTCAGCATACAGATGTAATAAATATGGTGAAAGAATACAACCCTGATGTACACCCTTTCTGATTTTAAACAATGCAATATCCCCTTGTTCTGTTTGAAGCACAGCCTCTTGGTGTATATACAGGTTCTTCATAAGCATAATCAAGTGT